AATGAAGTGGTTGCTTTTCATGACTATCTCAGGGTGGTTTATTATGCAGCAACAGATAAGCAGAATTGTCATCATTATGTACCACAGTGTCTTTCTGTGAGGGAACCAAGGGTCCCCCCAAATAGCCACCCAAGCTGAGGAGGAAACAGGGGTAGTATCAGTGAGATGGTCTGGGGGAAAAGAGGAGGGGTCTCAGGGTGGGGAGCGCAAACCAGCCCCAGAGGGGTCCCACCTTCAAAGCCCCTGTGAAAGGAGCTCACTGAATGGTTCTGACCCCGCTGTTCCATTCCAGGTCCTGTTGCCTGTGGCCTTTTTACTCTCAGCGAGATTTCCAACACAATTGGCCTCCTCTTTGGACCCCAGTATTTAGTCACGTTCAGAGTTGGTACCTGCTGAGGAGGAACGAGAAGTCTGTGTGAACATGCCCCTCCCCCACTGCTATGGCAGGAAAAGTGCTTCCGGGACTGGTTTTTGTGGCTCCTCTGCTCATCGGCTCTGTGATCTTGGGCAAGTCACTTTATCCCTCTGAGCCTGAGTTTTCTCAGCTGTAAAACTGGGCAATGAGTGGTCCTGCCCTAAAACAGTCCTGTACAGATTAAATGAAATGAAGCAGATTAAGTGCCTGGTCTCAGCAAGTGCTCCCTTAACGTTTGCCATTCTTTTGGGACTGTTGTTCTTGTTGAAAACCGAAAGGTCCAGACTAGTAATGTCACTGTGAGCAGGAGGACATTTCTGCTTCCACCTAAGTCACCCTGTGGGAATTGAGGCCCATTTTAGCCAGAGCCTCTCAGAAATCTAGCCTGGGCCTGGGGCATAGTCTGGGCTGCAGGACCCAAAGGTCTGCTTGTGCCCCAGCTCCACCTGTCTGCTCTGAGTAAGGCCAGGGTGCAGCTCAGCAGGAAGGACGGACGCTGCTTCTGCAGGGCGGTACCCAGTGCAGACAGGAAGAGACCTGGACAGGAGACAGGGGAGCTGAGTTCATGTCTTAGCTCTGCCACCACTTGCGATAGGATTTGAAGCACCTTGGTGCCTCAGTTTCCCCATCCATAATTCATTTAATAAATATCAAAGGTCTGTTGACTCTGTGTCATTGTCCAGCTCAGGCCCATAGGATACCCCTGGTGGTCCCCCGGGCTTTTGCACATCTGCTAAAAACTATCCTATTTCTGTGTGTCCCACCTTTTCCCTTGCAGAGTCCTTAGCACCCCTCAGCCTTGGAAGAGGCAGTGCTTCCTCCCACAAGCCCTTCTGGGTCAGCCGCTCCTTCTCAATGGATTGTACTACATTGAACACCCAGTGTGTAGTAGCGATGATGAAGGGGAGGATGACCACGGCCTAGTTTTCCCACCAAACCATGAACTTTGTGACAACTAGCAAAAAGGTCCCCAAAATACAGCTATTGAATAATGGCCTTCATAAGACAAGAGGTTAATTTTCTACTGTCAGTTAGCAGTGGCACCCAAAGCTTTTCTAAGCTTTGGCTTTCCCATCTAGCAAATGGGGCCCATAACACCTGTGCTTCCCACCTGTCTCAGAGCTTGCTGAACCCTGCTGGGCGCTTCACAGGCCACGCCTGTACAGCTACGTGAGGCAGCAGAGGGGGTTAAATAGTGTCTCCCCCAAATTTATGTCCACTTGGAACCTCAAAATGTGACCTTATTTGGAAAGAGGGTCTCTGCAGATCTAATTCAGGTGAAGATGAACATAACAGTAATTTAGGGTGGGCCCTAACAATGTGTCCATATGAGAGACAGAAAAGGATGCACTGAAACACAGGGAAGGCCATTTGAAGACTGAGGCAGAGACTGGAGTGATGCAGCTATAAGCCAACGGATGCCAGGAGCTACCGGAAGCTGGAAGAGGCGAGGAAGGGCCTTCTGAAAGGCCTCTAAGAGGGAGTGCGGCCTTGCTGACAACTCAGTTTTAGACTCCTGACGCCTTGAACTGGGAGAGAATATACTTCTATTGTTTTAAGGCACCAAGTTTATGGGTGTTTGGTACGGCAGCCTAGTAAACGAATACAGGCAGCTGTGTTATTACCTGCATTTTATAGGTGAGAAAACTGAGGCTGAGGCATGAAGTCACCTCGTCAGGCCCACACAGCCCTTGGGCTGCAGAGGCAGGATCTGAACCCTGTGTACCAGGCCCAGAGCCCTGTGCTCTTGGCATGACGCTTTGGCTGCTGCTGGTGGTCTGCCCACACGCCTGCCCACTGTCCATTCTCAACTTGAAGCAGCAGGATTTTACTCAACAGTTCCACTGCTTCTAAAAATGCCACCCTCACTTCACTGAGGCAAGTGGGAGGTAGCCTAAAAAGCTCCATCTCTACCCTCCCCAGCTGCTAAATTATTGCCTGAGCAACTGATTCTTTCCTTCTCTTCTCCTTTCCTTCCCTCCCTTCCCCATTCTTAATGACCCCCTAGATTCTTTAATCTCATGCTCTAGATATCAATTTAGCCCCAGCCTCTGTCTCCGGTTTTACCTCCCACTTCTTCCCAAGCAAGCCCTTTTCCCAGTCAAATCTTCCTGAGGCAGTCCCTCCCTTCCCTGCCTCCTTGTCTCCCCTCACAAAGTTCCTCTGGTTTAGAATGCCCCATCCCTCACAGTCAGATGTAAAGAAACCCACTCCATCTTCAAGCCCAAGTTCAAATTCTACCTCTTCCTGGAACATCTAGTCAACACTTCCCTCGGACCACACATATGTATTCACCAACATCCTCGAGTACCTGATTTGTGCCAAGGAGATCTAGGAACCAGGAAATGCAATGACCTCACTGTCTGGTAAGCAAATGGGAAACCATGACAACTGGGGAGGTGGGGAGCAGTACCTCTTTGCAGGACGAGGCAGGCTGTGTCTGGGAGAGGAAGGCCAAGGAGCCAAAGCCTCGCCCACATAAGGGCTGGGCGGCCAAGAGCATGTGTTCCAGGAGGTGTGGAATTCTGCATCCTAGAGGAGGAAGGGGAGGGAGGAGGAGGCGGGGGCTGGAGGGGAGGCATAGGAGGAGGTTAAAATGGAAGCCAGGTTATGGAGGGTACATGTAAGCCATTCTGAGGTTTTGATCCTGTCCACCCAAGTACTCCAAAGTGTAACCCTAGCTCACCTACATCACAGTCACCCAAGGACTTTGCTAATTTGCAAATTCATGGGTCCCCATGCTGCTCTGGGGGTGGGGCCTGGGAGACTGAATTTTTAACAAGCTCCCTGGGTAATTCCAATTCACCTTTAGCTTCCCAACCACAGGAGAGGGTGGAGCCAGACTGAGGCATTTGAAAGGAAAGTGTCACGTGTCACGATCTGATTTGCTTTTTAGAAGACACCGGGAGCACTATTCTCACATCTGTCTGATTTTGGTGTCTGCCTCCACGGTGGCCATTGGGTGCCACCTACTCAGCAACACCCTCTTCCTAATAGAAACCAGTTTGGTCCTGGTATCAAGTAGGTGACAATGGGCTCAGGGAAGGGAGGCCCCACCCCCAGCCTTAGGGGAGAATCCTGATTGGACCCTGCTTTCTGGTCCCCACTTTCCCAGACTCCTTTGCAGCAAAAAGCGGCCAATTTGCATGCAGAATTAAGGGTGACTGTGCACAGATCCATTTTTATGAGGGCGAAGGTCCATGGCATTCACCAGATTCTCAAGAGGGTAGAAGAGTAAAGAAGAGACTAGAAGAGTCCAGGCCAGTCACATGGCAAGTCACAGCAGACCTGAGGACACCATGTGTGTCCTAGATTCTCAGGCACTGACCTCCACTTCCTCCTCATGGGAAGGGCCATTTTCTTCAATGCCCTGAGAGGCCTCGTCAGTAGGAACACTATGGTTTCTGACAGGTGGAGGCTCTGCTGTCCTGCTGGCATTGCCCATGGACACTGAGAGAGAAGAACTATGGAAGAACCTGGAGGTACAAAGAGCCAATTCACTCCTAAACTGTTCCCAGAGGGCCCCCAAGCACGGGGAATGCCACAGATCCATGGCTCTCAGAGTCTAAACACATTTCTAGTAAGACGCGTTTTGCTCTCTGGTTCAAACCGTTGATTTAGCCCTGGATGGTGTGGCTCAGTGGATTGAGTGCCAGCCGGCGAACTGAGGGGCTGCCATTTTGATTCCCAGTCAGGGCACATGCCTGGGTTGCGGGCCAGGTCCTCGGTTGGGGGTGTGCGAGAGGCAACCAATGTATCTCTCGCACATCGATATTTCTCTCCCCCTCTTCCTCCCTTCCTTCCCCTCGCTAAGAAAAAATAAAATCTTAAAAAAAAAATTGTTGATTTATGCCATGCTCAAGTCTTCTGTATGTTTCCACTGGCTCCACTGGACCATGCTGGCCTTGGAAGGGGCAACTCCCAAAGCAAAGGAGAGATTAATTGAACACAACAGCAAAGTATGAAAATTAATCGAGATATTTAATAGACAGTGCAAACCATAATTTCATCTGAATATAAATGTATGCACATGTTTCCAATGAGTTATCTATCAGTTATCACAAACAGCAACAAGGACCTTAGAGCTATGTTAGAAAAACATATAGCTGGAATTTAACTCTAACAATCTCAACTGCTCTCAAGTGAACATCATCCATTTCAAATCAGTGTCACAAACTCCAGAAGACCAGGAATGGAAGTGAGGAGTGGGCTAGAATAGGAAACACAGGGACCAGTACACAGGTGATGGCCAGAAATACAGCTCTCAAGGAAACCAAAATCAGATGCATTGTTACAGCTAAGGACAAGGAAAAGCCTATGGCTTTTAAAAAACGACTTTTCTGCCAGTACCATACAAGTCTTACAAAGAGATGTGCGACAAGTCAACTGACTTAAAAGGACAGAGGCTACATTTTCAGATCATTTCAACTTGCAAACGGTCGACCCTTTCCATTGAGGTTCAGCAGTGGAGTTAGCGTAGTCCAGAAGCTCAATGTCGGATTTGCAAATACAGTTTATTTTACAGAAATTCAACATTATAAACAGCAGGCACCTCCCACCCCCCCACCCCCACCCCCCGCCCGCCCTGCTGGGTGCAGACCATGCTATGCAGAGTGAGCAGTGATGTGGCCCTACTGCTTTGGAGGGAGAGTCGAGAGCGATGGAACCTGCCTGCACCACGTCCTGCCTTCCCTGCACACGCACACGCCTGCCCACCTGCAGGCCGCCAGAGTCTGTCTGGGCTCAGCTTGCACTGGCCCAGTTAATTAACTGGTTCCAGTTAATTAAATGGTTCCGGCCCAGGTCTCCAATTCCTTCATGTCTTCGTCTTCCTCTTCCTTCTTCTTGGCTGTGATGAGAGAAAAGGCAATTTAGGAGGGCTGGTTGCAGTCCTCTCAACATATTCTGGCTGGAGGCCAGGGCTGTGCCACATGGCTGGTGTCCACAAAAACAGCCCTGCCCTCCTATCAGCAGGCTGCTTCTGTGCCTAAAAGCTGCAACGTCCAACTCCAGATAACCAGACGCACTTTCCCCAGTGCCTCCCCTCCACCAGCATCTGGACCAGACAAAATAAGGATTCTACCCTGAGTCAGGATTCAGGCAAGTCCCAGAGCATCCAAGGTAGGGGAGAGAAGGAAAAATATCAGAAAGGATCAAATCCTCACCACCCTCCTGCCCCCCAAGTGACTTAAACCCTCTTCACACCCATAGGCAACTTGCTGGACAACGTTTGGACCTCCTTTGCCCCTTATCCCAGCCCCACCTGAGCCGCTGACTCAACTCAAGAGGCCGTTTCCTCCTTGAAACTGGGAGAGTGAGGTGCTTACGGCCTGGTCGCACTCTCCTCCCTGGGTGCTTTCTCTATGCCCAAGAAAACTGCTTCACCTTTTTCTAGTTCTTTGTGGAAGGTTTCTACCCTACCCAACGTAAAATAATTGGGGAGGTGGGGAAGGGAGGAGCAGGCAGAAGGGAAGGAAGGTTTTATAGAACCAGGTCTTTAAAAAAGCCAAGCTGTTTCCTTCCCATAGTGACTGCCTGTGAGGCCCCAGGCTTTTACAGGTGTGCACAGCACAGGATTCTACACAGGGAGCAAGAGCTGTCCTGGAATTAAATTCTCACACCTTCTCCCAGTGCCTAGAACTTTCTCTTGTTTGGTGGCACATAGGGAAAGTCATTCTGGAGTACTGGTTCTCAAGTGGGAATGATTCCTCACCCCTGTACCCCCAAGGGACACCTGGCAATCACTGGAGACATTTTTGGTTGTCATAACTTGGGAAAGAGGAGCTATTGGAATCTAGTGGGTAGAGAGGCCAGGGGTGCTGCTCAACATCCACAGTACATGAGACAGACGGCCGCCCCAGCCCCAGCCCCAGCCCCAGCCCCAGCCCCAGCCCCAGCCTAGAGGACGATCTGGCTAGGTTAATAGTGCCAAGATTAAGAAATCCTGTTCTAGAGAGAAACTAAGAAAGGGCAGGTGACACTGTCTCTGAGGCCATCGCAACAGATCCTACCTGGTTCTCTACCCTGAGTAACTGACCACAAGGGCACCTACCACATGGCATCACGGGTGTGTCTGACCCTGGACATGAAGTACTCACTGGGTTTTGATGGTAGAGCTATAGAGGGAACATTTGGTAGAGGGACTGTTTCAGGTCCACTGATTTCCAGCAAATTCTTATCTAGTTCCTCTTGTTCTAGTTCTTCTAATTCTGCCATGAGCTCATCCTGGTAAAAAGAAACACAATAATGAGAGACATGCCTGGGAATCCCAGCCCCCACAGTAGGACCTCTTGCCTGATGCGTGAGGGGACATGCACCCCTTCTGAGAAGGTCAGAGGGGAGATAGACTCCGGGTCCACACACTCTGTGACTCAAATATCCTAAACTTGCTCTAGCAGTTCTGGTCTGTGCCTGCGTCCTGCACTAGGCTGTGTGCACCTTAAGAAAAACAGTTGTATCTTTTCATCTTATTTCTTCATCTCAGTACAGGGTGCACTAAGTGAATGTGCAGGACTGTTTGCTAAATTGAAATTAACTTAACTAATTCATCAAATTCTACTCAGAAAACACAAAAACCCTGGTACTGGCAGCCAACGGTAACAGCCACAGGCTATTGAATCAGCTACGCCCTGGGAATCAGATAGCACAAAGAATCGGGTTCAACGGAGAGGGCCTGACCTTCGGTGCACTCAGATCTAAGGCAGAATGAAGTACCTTCAACAAGGTCTGCTAGTGCATTTTAAAAACCTAAGAGATGCAGAGTCCTATGTGCTACAGCAGAAACTGGCTGGTGGCCAAGTTCCAGGCCATTTCCTCAGGAGTCAGATGTAAATGCCCCTTCTTGGTTTCACCTTTCCCTCAAGTCAGAGGTGTCTGCAGGCAAATCCTGTAAACAGCTCCAGGGCACGGGCACCTCAGCTGCCCCAGCTCTGTGCCGAGGGCCAGCCGCAGAAAGGTGCCAGGTAACTACTTGTTCAAACCAATTATTGACCTAAAGCCTGCTGTTGGGTTCCAACAATGGTTCCTTTACTTTACCTAACCTTCTACCCTCAAAAGTGAAAACATCCCTCACATTTGAGAATTAGGAGGGTTAATGCCATGCCCTGTATGTGCCAATCTCTGGAGGGATGAGAACGGGTGATTTCCAAACCACACACTGCCTGCCAGGGCGCCTGCAACAGCAGGTCAGAAGGCAGCCCGTGTCATTTCCGTGAAGCCTGTGTGATCTGCATGAAAACACTCACCTCATCAAACTCTTCTCCGAACCCTACAGGTTTTGAAATAGCTGTTGAAATCTCCTCTGCAAGTTCTTGCTGGTCAGCAATGTCCTGCATTAACTCATCAACTTTATCGATGTCCCTTTAAATGAAATGGACAGATGTCATATCAACGATCAGTCTGTGTAAAGAGAGTCTATGAGAGATAATTACTCCCTGTGAGAAATTACTTTTTTGTCTTTATTCTCTTCCTCCTTCCCTTTAAAATAGAGAATCAAGAAATTGGACATGTCCTTAGATCTCACCTAGGCCAACACCCTAAGGAAATAAGGCTTAGCAAAGTCAGAGGTCACAGTCATGGTCTCCATGCAAGCCAGTAAACATGTTAAACTTTAAGTCCTGGGCCAACAGCCCTTCTTCAAGCTCAAGGGAAACTCTGTACCGAGGGAATGTCCTCTTTGTGTTACAGTGGGAGCAACAAATCATAAAATCACAAATCATAACCTGTAGCCAGGCCACGTGACAGGTCCTTCCCATCTACTCAAATCCACTTGGGGCTCCTCTACTAGACCCCAAAGGAAAGGTAAACATGCAGAATTATTTTCTACACAGTCAATCTCAATCATATACACATATACGTCAAAGTGTGTACAGTATTTACTGAGATGCGCTCTGTGCTAGACATCTTGGAGAACATAGAAATGAGGCAGACATTGACCACACTCAGTTCAGTCCAATGCACCCTCAGATAACACCACACTTATCTGAAGGCTACTTTTCCTGCAACCCCACATTTCCAGAGCAAAGATCAGCAAACTTCCTGTAAAGGCTAAACAGTAACTATTTTAGAATTTGTAGGCCATTCTCTCTCTGTTGCAAATATTCAATCCTACCGTGTAGCACAAAAAAACAGCCGTACACAATATGAAAATTAATGGGCATAGCTGTGTTTCAATATTTACAAAAATACGTGACAGGCCCACAGGCAGCATTTTGCCAATCGCTGTTCTATAGCATGACTGAGTACCCGAAAGGAAGCAACAAGGGATTCTAAGCGCCCCCAAATATAAGCTGCCGAGTACAAGCACTAAAACAAATGTAGAGTTTTGTTCATGGGAGAGGCCCTCATTTGAAGTATAGTGTTACCCTGGCCTTTAATTACAGTTCTAACAAGTTTGATTATCTATTTCTGAGGCCACTATATGTGAGGAGTGGCCACATAAAAGAGGGGATGCCGAAGCCAAGAACACTGCCAATACGATAGCCAAAGCCTGAGAGCAAGGGCGAGGCAGAAACTTCCAGCAAAAGCATTCGTAAGAACAGAGAGATCCAAAGCCCCTGGATGTACCACTTTTCAGGGCCCCTGAGAGCATCAGGAAAAAGTCATGGACATTGGTTCTAGTCCCAGTTCTATCCAAGCTCATAAGGTCATGACTCAGGGCAGCCCCCCTTCCCTCTCCGAGACATGGCTTTCCCACCTTGATCATCAGAGGCCGGGGTGAGAGGACCTTCTAAGGACTTTTCTAGCGTGAAACTCTATGCTCATCACAATAACTCTGAATTACTCAGAAAATACTGTTTCATTCTGTGAGATCTGCTTCCAAAAGCAGAAAGGCACGTAATTCATTTTAGAGGAAGTACCAAAAAGAATACAAATTGAAACAAACTCAGGTGCTTGAGAGAGTAAGTCACAGAGCCCGCCCCAGGCCACGGCCAGGCCCCAGGCGCTCCCCCCACCAGCGGGGAGCCACATACATGTTGTCGTGGGCAGCTTTCATAGCCTTGGCGGCATAGCCCATGTTCTTGAGCACCTCGGTGTTGGTGTTGGCGTTCTCCAAAGCCTCTCGCTGGAACTCGATGGTGGACAGCGTGCCATCAATCTGCGCCAGCTGCTTCTCATACCTCTTCTTGCGCTTCAGTGCCTGGAGGGCCGCTGCGTGGGGAGAAAACAGGGTTTCAGAGAGTCCACACACAGGGTAATGTCCTAGAGCTCCCCTGAGCCTTCCCTCTAATTTTAATGGCGGCACCTCTGGTGTTGCTTTCACTCTAACACAAAGAGCACATTCAGTTTTCTGAGAAAACTATACAAAATTCACATGCAACCAAGCACACAAACAAAAGTTCACATTATCTGGTACCACGAACACACACTGAAATCACAGCATAAAAAGGCACCCAGGGAAAGAATACGCTTTGAGGCTGAACTGTCTTAGGTTCAAAACTCAGCTCAGAATTAGGTAGGTTCATTGTGAGGAGTAAAAGAGATAATATATGTAAATACCTAGCATAACATTAAACAGTGGACTCTGTCTAAGTATGATAACGCAACTTTAAGGTATCATTTTATGCCAACTAAATCACAAAATAGTATTTGTACCTAGTAATGGATCAGCTGGGGTTTAAATGCTGTCTCACTGTACATAGCTGATGAATGTAAATTGTTACAACGCTTCTGAAAAGTAACTTGGCAACACACAGCACCAACCACAATGACATTCCCTCTCTCTCACCCAGTAATTTCCTTCTGGAAATGTATTCAACAAAAGCAGAAAGTCCCATGCCTGAAGACCATTATGACAGCATTTTCTATCACAGAAAAACAGCAGAATAAAGACAGAATTCCCTGCCAGGGACAAATCTAGAGTCTGACCATTTGGTCAAGTCAGTGTCATCATCTGTCTTGGCTGCTGCCATGTCAAGGCTGTAGAGGTCATCCTGTTTTAAGGTCCAGTCAGGACATGGTCAGTTTGTGGCAGGGCAGGGGCCAAAACCGTATTTTCCTACTCATAACCCAGCCTTCTCCCCTAACTGCCTGAAGTCCCTCTTTACACTAAAAATTATCTTTCGCCCTGGCCAGTATGGCTCAGTTGGTTGGAGCATTGTCCCGTAAACTGAAAGGCTGCAGGTTCAATTCCCAGTCAGGGCACATGCGTAGGCTGCAGGTTCGGTCCCCAGTTGGGGCACGTACAAGAGGCAACCAATCGATGTTTCTCTCTCACATGGATGTTTCTCTCCCTCTCTCTTCCTCCTTCCCTTCCCATCTCTCTAAAATCAATAAGCATGTCCTCGGGTGAGGATTCAAAAAAGATCTCTAACACACACCTTAGATGGGCATCAAAGCCAGGCAGGAGGCTCAGCACAGACTCCAGCAGAATGAATGGGCTGGGCTGGGAAAGCTGCCCAGCCCCTGCCTTGGCCTGGACAGCACTGGCCCCACGTGCACACAGACACACTGCTCCCCGTGTCTCTGGGCTCCAGAGCAGAGCCATCTCCTGCAAGCTGTAGGGGACAGTCAATCACCTTCCTTGCAGGGCTGGGGTTCCTCCACATTCACATGAATAGGTTCCATGCTCCTTAAAAACCAGTTGCCAAGGGAAAACAAGCTTGGCTTGCATGTAAGCAGTCCATGGTTCCTTCAAAAGCAGCAGATAAAACCACCAGGAAAACTCCTCCAACCAAAGGATAAAGCAGGCTAAAGAGTGATTGTAAAAAATCTGAAGAACAATGAAATGTCCCTCATTGGAAGCTGAAAGGCCGTTCTACCTGTTATCTCCCTTGATTCTGGTGTGAATGGCCTATGACTTCAAGAAATCCAACTTGCAGTCACACTCAGGGGTCCGCAAGACCCCTTTCTGAACATCTTCACCTTCTGCTAGTACTAAGCTCTACATGCTGAATAATTACCCCACAACAGCAACCCTTTAAGGTAGAAATAACCACCCCTTTTAGCAGGTGGGGAGTCTGAGGTTCAGAGAGGTCCTGTAACTAAGGTAATCAGAGGGTGAGCAGCAGGGAGGGTGTGATTAAGCCGGGGAGGGCCTCAAAGCCCTGCCCTGCCACTCTAACTGTTGTGCCTCTCACTTAATGAAAAAGGTAGGATCCTGCGCTGGAGGGGAGGGTGGAGGGGACTATGGGAACACAGAAGAGGGAAGCGCATATCCAACCATATCATTTCTTTGCTTAAAAACCCTCAATAGCTCCCTTAGTCTACACGACAAAGCCACAGTGTGGTTCACTGTGGCTGCCAGAAGTCAAGGGACTGACATTCTCACTGCAGGCCAGGTCCCAGGAGCCCCAGCACCAGGTCTGAATCCCTTTGCCACTGACCATGATGACAGAGGGAAGACATCTGGGAGAGCCCTAGCAGGTAAGTGCTCTGGGCCTGGGGCTGCTTCCTTGTGACTTCCTTGGTGCTGTGTTACTTTCCCACAGAAACCAACCCAGACGGCTCCCCACGTGCGGGTGATTCTCAAGTCTTCTCAGGCCAATGCCTCATGGGTGCCCCCTTCCCAGGTCCTCTTCAGCCATCCCATCACCCATGGCATAGCTCAGCCTAAACAACTTGTCCACTGGTCAAGATTCAACAAGGTGTTCTGAGAGCTTTCTGCACGGCAAGCAAGGCAGCTCCGGCAGCCCTGTGCACTTCCTCACTTAATCTTCGCACACCCAGTCACAGGGCAAAGGTTTTGTATCCATACTAATGAGGAGACTGGGGATCAGAAAGATAAAGCAGCTCATTCAAATCATCCTGCTGTTAGGTGGGGAGGAGAGGGGTCAACCACTGTCTGTGTAAATCCCCAAGCCTCTGCTCTTCCCACACAGGCACAGAATGATGGCAACTGACTCTGGGACAGTTCTCAAGAATAAACAATTAAGATGACATGCCTGCCTTGCTTTTCAGTGTCCTGAATGCAGCAGGCACAAAATTTATTCTTTCCTTAAACCCTAAAACATCATAAATTTAGAAGTGCTTTACCTTTTTCTCTAATATATTTCCTTGTATGCCAATTTTGCACTTCTCTGATCTCCACCCTACTTTTTTAAAAAAGATTTTTAAAAGATTTTTATTTATTTTATTTTTAGACAGAGTTCGGGAAGGGAGGGAGAGAAACATCAACATGTAGTTGCCTCTTGTGTGCCCCTCTACTGGGGACCTGGCCTGTAACCCAGGCATGTCCCCTGACTGGGAATCGAACTAGCGACCCTTTGATGCACAGTCCAGTTGGGCACTCAATCCACTGAGCCACACCAGCCAGGGCTCCACCCTACTTCTAAAATTCCCCAAGCAATAAATGATGTGGTTCCTGGCCGGAGAGCTCAGTCGGTTAGAATGTCGTCCCAATAGGCCAAGGTTGTAGGTTCAGTTCCTGGTCAGGGAGCAAGCATACAAGAATCAACTAATGAATGCCTAAGTAAGTGGAACAAGAAATAAATGGTTTTCTCTTTCCCTCCCTCTCTCACTAAAATCAACTTTAAAATAAATAAATAAATAATCCAGAAACAAATATACAAACACATCAGGGAGGTAAGCAAGAGACTCCCCCCTCACGAATGAAATGTTTATATTACTCATTTTTACAGACCAACATCTAGCACAATGACTAGTCCACAGTTAAGTGCTTATTACATATTAAGCTGAGTCTCCAATTTCATCTTTTTTTTTAAGTTTTTCTTATAATCCTATGTAGGGCTTCTCATGTGGGGTGCACCCATATTTTACCTCCTGTGTACCACTGACTCAAAGGACAAGTAAAGTCTCGTTGAAGCATTGGCTAGAGCAATTACTTGGCAGGATTCTCTGTCCCTGCATTCCTCCTATTTCATAAAACAGGAACTTTTGCCAGTGCCTGCTCTTTCTGTCCTCGCAACAAGGTGTGCCCTCTCTGAGACTAGGAAAAGGTCCTGAGCCCTCAGAGCAGCCATCCAGGATTCCTGCTCCCACCTGCAGAATTCACCATCTCTTGCTCTCCTTGCAGTTAGCTCTCCAGGACGGTGTCTGGCAGGGACAATTGATTTCTTTACTCTAATCTAACTCCTGTGCGTATCTCCCAGTTAGCTGAGAACTCCAAAGAGAAAGGATACACAATTAATTTTCCCCCTCCATACCTGCTTTATGAGTAAACTAATGTTATAAATAGACATGGGGTCAGCACTTCGGCTCCAAGAATATGTGCAACTATATTCATAGCACTTGAACTACTCTGTATCTTACAAACATGTGGCACTGTGGTGAAGTATAACTTAAGGGTACACTAAACGAGTAAAATGCCACTCTTCCTGCATACTGTTACACTTAAAACATCCTCCATCCCAACCTTATTTCTGACCAAAAAAATCTGCTACTATATGTAGCCAAAATCTAAAGGACTAAGCCCAATGTTATATTTCTCCAAATTCCTGATGGTTGGTTAAAAAAACAAGTACTAGAGTCTCATCACAAGAAAAAAAATCGTAACTATGTGAGGTGATGGATGCTAACTAAACTTACTGTAGTAATCATTTGTATACTATATATGCATATCAAATAAATGTTATACACCTAAAACTGATAAAATATTATATGTCAATTATATCTCAATAAAACTGGGGGGAAACGGGAAACAAATAGGGTTAACGACGAGTTTATCTAAACCAAATATTCAAAGAAGGGACATATAAAGAGATCCCTTTTCTGCCAAAGAACCTCAGTGTCATTCATAAGCACAATGGCATTAAAAACTGAAATCTAATCCAGGCCAATAGAAGTTTAAGAGGTTGCTTTTAGATGGAAAAAAATAGTCCTTGGAATCTCCATATTTAATTATGCCTTTGCTGGTTCCAAGAGAGTAATTACAGCAGCAATTACAGAATCTAATAACCAGCTTTATTGGCTCTGAAAGCTGAAGCAAAAACAACTCCAACCATGTTGAAATAAACATTGGTCTCCAGACAGTTGCTTCATTAGACACTCTAAACAGCTATTTGGAGAAAAAAGTACAGCAGAGATACCCTAAGAATCAGAGGCCCATGATAATGACTTTCACTCAGGACCAGAAACTCCTTCTGCAAAGCATCTGTTAGTGACTGTACAGAAACCATTTTCAGAGAATGCATTAGTTCAATGCAACTAGATAGGACGTTCCTTTCTTCTAGGAAAAGACAGGCTTGACTTCT